GGTCTGGGTTTGGGGTCTTCATTTTCACCTGAAGGTTGCATGGAATCCTGTCTGTGTTTCCTGTCTGCTTTCAGGAAAGCCCAGTCAGGATAACCAACACATGATGACAGTAAGTTGACAAAAGCCAAACATGAAGCTGTGTTAGTTCTGATTTTCATCTTGCATAACTGTGTGTAAATTTTACCAAGTGCCAAAGCTGCAGGCAGAAAAGGGCTTTGATGCAGCTCATCAGAGCATCCAGCTTTACATCGTCCAAACTGAACTCATAGATTTAATTGCGGGGAGATAAGGTTTATCGTGAGAGTGCATGTGCGTGTGTATATCTACTGTTATATTATGAGAGGATTTAGTGCTGACTGGAGCAGAGCTAGAGATGAGCGATGATTGCATAATGACTCTAAAGCATAAGGTGCAGCTCGGGTGGTGCTTGGCTCCGCTCACTCTGTGGTTGGTCTGAGGATTTTTTTTCCACGCTAATGCCAGGAATGCTGCCAGAATCAGCGGCTGTTTCTTTACGTCACGTTCCTCCAAGCAGGAGTTAGAGGATTCTGTTTTRTTGAAAGCAGACACTGTATGTCCCTGTTTCACACAGGATTGCAGCTTGTGATTTGTAATGTAATGGTTTTATTTGGAGAGCAGGCAGGGCAGTTTAGCTTCAGGACTTTAACAGCACAAATCCTGTGAATGCAGAATATCAGGATCATATATTGAATCAGATATTTGTGGGCTGCAGAGCCGTTTGATGGCCTAAAGATATTTCATAAGTTTTCACCCCTGCCCTTTGTAGAAGGGAAATTGCCTGGATGGACTGTCTGAATTGGATGATATTGTGCTTGTAGAAGATGATGAAATTTCCAGGTATTTTACAACTTCATGTTCAGAACTTCACTGATCTGCTGCTGAAATGTAACTTAGCATTTATTTTAGAAAGAAACATTTGTTTTGTTGTTCTGCCTTCATGAATTAAACATGGGATTGAAAATGACTGCGTCACTGCAGTTTGGTTAAAGTTTTATCCCACAAACTTGTTTCTAAAATCTTTTGGAAAAAATGAGTGCAGATTTATGGAAGCCCATTTCCGCCACCCTGATAAAAAAATAAATAAAACTTGTATCTCATAATTATAACTTAGCTATCTCATAATTATATTACTTGGCTGTCTGCTCTTCTCCACCCCAGACTGAAGGGGCCTACCTCCTGGGTTCGGGCGTGAGCTGCCCTCTGCTGGGGGTAGGTGCATATCCTGGGCCTGGGGGGTATAATGTCTGTATGGGGAGTGTGAGTGGATTGTGGCGTCCATCTTGTGTGTCTTTGAATGAGTGGGTGAGAGGATGAGGGTGGGACTGTGTGAGTGTGTTTATGTACAGTATGCTTGTATTTATGTCAGGC